CGCAGCTCTGGATGTCACCTTTACCTTTAAACAAGGGGACCAAGAGACTCTCCCTCCACTCATCAGGCATCCTTGCTGTCCGAAAGATAACATTGAAGAGTTTGGTTAACCAAACCCACGCACCACGGCCCGCATGCTTCCAAAACTCCACCGGAATCTCATCTGGTCCCAAAGCTCTCCCACTACGCATCCCTCGGAGAGCCCGAACCACCTCTCCCAGGCAAATGCGCCGACAATACACACGAGACGCCCCGGACTGCCCCAGCTCATCAAAAACTAGCCTCTGGTCTCCTCCCGCATTTAAGAGATCACAAAAGTACTCCCCCCAGCGCTTAACCACTTTGGCAGTCTCAACTAACACTCTACCATCGCTCCCCTTCACGCATCTGACGTGGTCCAGATCTCGGGCCTTCCTCTCACGCACCTTAGCAAGCCGGAACAGTGTATTAACACCGCCTTTCTCCTCAATATCCTTGTAGAGGCGTTCAAACGCGGCATTCTTTGCTCTCGTAACCTCTAACTTGGCTTCTGTACGTGCCTTCTTGTACTCCACTCGTAACGCCGTTCTTTCTTCCTCAACATTGCAGCCCATGTACCTCAAATATGCCACCTTCTTAGCTTCCACCTTAATACGGACTGAATCGCTCCACCACCAATCACCCTGATGCCTACTCCCAGAGCCAGAGCTCACACCTAACACTTCCCTGGCTGTTTCCCTGATGCAGTTAGCAGTCTGCTTCCACATATCTGTAGCCTCTCCGGCCGATTCCCACGCACCTTTCTCCTGCACTCGCCTGATCAACTCAGAGATATTCTCCCCACTTAGTCTCCCCCACCGGATTTGTGTGTTGCCACTCGAAGCTCTCCTATGTTTCACCCATTTGATCATGACATCCATCACGAGAAGCTTGTGTTGGGTTGTGATGTTTTCACTCGGAACTACTTTAGCATCCTTGCAGAGCACTCGATCACACCTGCGCAGGAGAAAATAGTCGATCTGTGTCGTCCCCACTCCACTAACAAATGTAGCCAAATGAACGCCTCGTTTTGGGAAACAAGAGTTAGCAACCACCATATCACTCGCTCTGGCAAACTCTAAGAGTGAAACTCCTGCTGGGTTCCTGCT